CAATGTAGAGGAACATTACTGTTTATTAAGTAAAATCACTTTTTAATCTATTCTACCATTTAAGTATTTAAACCTAATGTTCCTTAGTGTAGCATTTGCTGCTTCTGTGGAAGAATACATAGTTAATAAATCACCATTGTTAACTAGTTGTAGGTTTCAATGGGGCTCTTAATGCATTTTTTGAATTTTTTGAAGATTATTTCTTTTATTTAAACTGTAATGACCGTTCGCTCATGGTTAGCAGCCTGAAAGTATTAAAAGATGAACACTGACTGAGCTTGTAGGAAAAATGGTAATTCATGCAAGTCAGAGAAGGCCAAAAAGAATACAGCATTGAGACCACCACCATTTAGATATCAAGTAATTTCCTTCTATAACTATTGCTGCATGTATGAGAATAGTTGATGTGTGAATATAGCATATACATCCAAGACACTTGATAAATGTGTGTGCAGAAAAGAATAATATACATGTACATACATGTCTAATACAAGGATGAGAAAACCAGGTAGAATAAAATGCTAATTAAAAACAGCTCTCAAGAAATAATTCTAAGAAAAATATAGAGACACGTATTTTATATCATAGCTCTTCCCTGTATTTTAAACACCTAAAATATTAAAATTTCAGTACACAGCTTTATTTGGGATCTAATTCATTTGCATTTGTAGAGATATTTTATTTTTTAGCTATCTCACATAAAAAAGCGCCTGACATTTTCGTTTTTTGTTTACTTTCCCTAGTGTAAGAAAATGGTAAGTTGAGTTATTCTCCCTTTATAATGTTTCAATAGCAAATGCTGTCAGTAAAACTAAATAAATATAGTAGCCAGGTAGCAAGATCTGTGTCCCAGAGGAAATTATTTTATTTTATTTTATTTACTTTTTTTTTAAGACGGAGTCTCACTCTGCTGCCCAGGCTGGAGTGCATTGGCACAATCTCAGCTCATTGCAACCACTGCCTTCTGAGTTCAAGTAATTCTCCTGCCTCAGCCTCCTGAGGAGCTGGGATTACAGGCACGCACCACCATGCACAGCTAATTTTTTGTATTTTTAGTAGAGACGAGGTTTCACCACGTTGGACAGGCTGGTCTCTAACTCCTGGCTAGTTGTCTGCCTGGCTCAGCCTCCCAAAGTGTTGGGATTACAGGCATGAGCCACGGTGCCCAGCACCCCCAAAGGAAATAATTTTAGAGATAAAAGCTTGTTCTAGTGTGGGCTCTGGCAATGTCAGTTACATTTTCCTTGGGCAATTCATGTGACCATTCTAGATGCTTTTTCTTCACTTTCTCCTCCCAGTCCTTTATCCCTGATGTGGCAATCGGAGGTTTCTTTCACATGGTGGGTACCCTTGCCCACATATGGTCTTCTTGCTCTGATGTTCCATGACAAAAGAATGCTTTTGTCCCTGATGTTAAAGGCCTGATACGTTCCCTGTGTCTCCCCCAAACCCAGGGTGTAGATTTTCCTTAACTTCCTTTCTTTTCTCTTAATGTTTAATTCCCAAGCCATGTTTAAGTAAGTTTCTTTATCTAGCTATTGTGCCAGGTGAAGTCCACACCAGAGTCTGAGCTGTCTTAAGTCCAATGGTGCAAGCTTCTTCAAGTGAGCATGCTGTGTCACTGTTTTTGTATGAAACTCAGACTCTTCATGTGTCAATTCAGTGTGAGCAGTCTTTAAATCAAAGGGTACACATTTTACTCTATGTATATTTTTAATGTTTTATGTATACATATATGTTTGCAAGACAGATATGTTGCCAATATTTAAATATTAAAACATTTCGAGTAAAAATACACATTTGCATTTTCTTCTTGAGGACTCAGAAAGCCCTGGAAGCGCTTGGCTTGCATTTCCACATGACAGATATCGGCTGGAAAATTCACTCATTGTGTGCAGCCTGCAGCTTCTCCCTCAGGAATTTCTTCTTTCTTACCTGATGCACACAGTAGCTTATGAAGAAAGGAAATTTGCAACCACTGTTTTAAAGCGAAGGTGGATTTTGCTTATCACCTTCATGCTGTTAGTTGAGTGCTTCCAGATTTTCAACAGATTATGATTGTGGAGATGAGGGCAGGAGGCATGTTAGGAATTGATTGTTTGATGATAGCTCACCCTGACTTTCATGCTGTTAGATGCATTGCTCAATACCCAGCAGAGGAAAGAGTTCAGGAGCTGTACACTAAAAAAGGACTGAAATAATTGTGCAAATTGTTAGCAATAGTCCGGAAAGCAAATGGACTTTTACATTGTCAAATTTAACTGAAAGCCCTTCTATTCAGGTGTAGTTTACGGACAACTTAGTATTAATATTTTGGAGTGTGCGTGTGTGTGTGTGTGTGTGCGTGTGTGTGTTAGAGACAGAGTCTTGTTCTGTCATTCAGGCTGGAGTGTAATGGCACCATCATAGTTCACTGCAGCCTCCAATTCCTGGGCTCAAGTGATTCTCCTGCCTCAGCCTCCCAGGTAACTGGGGCTACAGGTTATTATTTTGATAATAATAAAAGAGATTGTGACTCTTAAAAATTAGATTCACTATTGATAACACTGAATCCGGATCAGATACTTAAGGAAAACAAAGGAAAAAGTTAAGGGTTATAGGCAAATAAGAATGGGTAAAACAGAAAGCTTGGGGTGTACTGGGGGCTTTTGTTGTTGCTGTTGTTTTTAATCTTAAATTACTAAACATCATATTGGAGATGAGCAAGGAAGCAAAAATGAGTTTGGAGTACTTCTTTTCCAGTTAGGCTTTGATAGACATATGATTCACACCTTGGAACACATACTATACAATCAAACCCTTGCTGAGATAGTCTGCTGCCTATTGGATAGATAGCTGGGCCTGTAATGGAAACAAATGAATGTTTTGGTGATGTTTTCAGGACAGAACAGATAGAGAAAATAAAATTCCATTAACTATTAAGCAGCATGCTGTTTTCTCTGTGCTTTAGAGACAGATGTAAAAAGCTCATGCTTAAGGGATTGGGTGGGGTTCCTATTTGCTGGAGAAAGATACCCCAGCGTGGAGAAACGAGCAGTGTCTGTCTCTGATGCTCCTTCCAAAGGCCAGTGTGCCCTGCTCCACTTTTGCTTACTGCTGACCTCTTCTCCCACCTTGACTTCGTGCACTCATTCCAACCACTTTCTGCTTCTGTGCTTGCTTTGCTTCAACATTTCAGTTATAGAAACATGTATACCAAACAAGAAACCTGTCTCTATCTGGTAATATGGAACAAAAATTATACTGTTGTTTAAAAAAGTATTCATGAATGCTTGTAGAAGTCAAAATAGAAGCATATTTTAACTGGTGCGAGAGCTCCTTTTCTTTCTCTCCTTTGAAGAGAATGTAATTGTGAAACCAATTCACCAGAGATGTGTGATTCAATACAGATCATACCAAGGCCCAGTTAAAATTTAGCTTTACTTTAATCTCAAGAAGGCAACCATTATAGACACTTGAAAATAATGAAGCTACATTGTTAAAAAAAAAAAAAACTTCTATAGTTTAGAGTTTTTATTTTTTCATTTTGGCTACCTGACATTCTCAGCTTAGATGACTCATGAGACATTTTGAGGATGAATATAAATTTGTAGACAGGATAACAAAATAGCTTCCCGTAGTCAAAGACTTTAGAGTTTTGGTCTTTTGACATCTTTTTGGTCCATATATTCACTGACTTGGGCGCATCATATCCTTATTAATATAGAGTCCTCTATAAAATAGGTGATCGTGACAATAACAGCTTTATTCTTGTGTTAATTTGCCCAATACTGGCTATACTTTTAAATGTTTTTTTTATACATACATCTACACACCTATATAATCTCTTCATTGTTAGTCAAGAAGGAGTTCATTTTGCGGCCTGGGCAACATAGTGAGACCCTATCTCTGCAAAAAATAAAAAAATAAAAATAAAAATAGCCAGCTACTCAGGAGGCTGAGGCAGGAGGATCACTTGAGGCCTGGAGGTCGAGGTTGCAGTGAGCTATGATTCCAACACTGCATTCCAGCCTGAGCAACAGAATGGCACTCTGTTGATCAGTAATATCTGCTTTAACATATTATTTAATGAATTACCCATAGATAGCCCCAAATCTGTTTATTCTGCCTTAAGACATTTTTGGCACATTGATTCTTTTCTTTTACTTTCCTGTTTCTTTATTTATTGAAGATGGTCTCATTCCCATTTTTTGTCTCTGTAAAACTGATAATAAAGAGAGTAATCATATCTCCAATGAATCCTTTCTGAATCTGAAAAAATATACTCTAAGAGTTCATATCATTTGTAACATATATAGTTTTTCATATATTCTCAATTTATCCTAATTTTTAAATTGTAAATATTAGAAATGTCTATCATATTCAGACTGTGGATTCATTTAGATTCAAATTTAAGAACTGTGACCTTGAGATGACCCCTAAGAACTTAGAAGTTTTTCATGGTAGTTTCAACCAGAATGGTGAAATTGTTGCCAGATTTAATTAGATATTAATCAATGAGGGTATTGGCAAATGTATATTTAGCCATGCATTTTTTTGTTTTTCTCTAGGTTTTATATCTATAAGACTGCTTATAAACAAGGATTTTCTAAAACTATAAAAACAAATATACAATCAGTTTTTTAGGAAAACGAAGAGTAAGAGGAGAATTTCTGTTTCCAAAATTATAGGCAGCCCTAAATGCATTAATGGTGTGCCTGTATGTGTGTTAAGATTGCAGCATCTAACATCAGTTAGATTCGCTGAGAATCTGTTACTTTCAACATCAAATAGCCATCTCCAGAACCAGGAACTCTCTTGATTCTTCTATTTATTCAGCAACACTAAACCGATGTTATTTTTTGGTTTCCTGTGTCTCTCTTTTCTAATACTTTTGGCTCCCTCTCTAGTCTTTTATCTCCTTCCCATGGTTTTGTCCATGAAACAAGAAGATCTTACTGTCTTTCCCCCCTGTATGAAATTCAGATCTAACATGTAGCAACCTGCTTTTTCTTTTGCAGATTCCTGTCTTGGTCACACAGATAAGTTCAACCAATCATCCAGTGAAAGTCGGACTTTCTGATGCATTTGTCGTTGTTCACAGGATCCAACAAATTCCCAGTAAGTAGAAGAAGGGCAGTCGCAATGAGTGAGCCTCTGTGGGGTAAATTTAAAGGAAATTGACCTGAAGAAGATGTACCTGAAGAAAAAAAAAAAAAAAAAACAGCTAATTGATTAGCTGATTGATGCTTGCTAATTCTCTTGTTTGGCTTATAACTCCTGTTGGACTATCTCTGTCATCCTTGAACTAACTCAGGTGAAGAGAAATTAAATAGCCAAGTCAAGAATGTGTAGTTTTGGATTTTTTTTCTTGTTTTTTGTTTTTTTTTTTCCTTTCTTTTGATTTGGGGTCTTAGTCTGTCACCCAGGCTGGAGTGCAGTGGTGCAGTCACAGCTCACTGCAGCCTTGACCTTTCAGGTTCAAATGAGTCTCCTATCTCAGTATCCTGAGTAGCTGGGACCACAGGCATGCACCACCATGCTCAGCTAATTTTTTAAATTATTATTATTGGAATAAATGAGGTCTTGCTATGTTGCCCAGCCTGGCCTTGAACCCCCTAGCTCAAGTGGTCCTCCTGCCTAGGTCTCCCAAAGTGCTGGGATTACAGGCCTGAGCCACCATGCCCAGCTAGATTCTTTGGGATAGTTGGCTTGGCTAAGCAGATATAGTTCTTTTATTAATAAGAATGACATAGAACAGTGACAAATTATTTGATTGATAGGCATATGACTTTTCATATATGTTTATCTTAAGTTTCTGAGCAAAACCACAGCTTTGTGCTATCTTACATTTAATGTATTTGTGTAAAACTGTTTTAGAGTCTAAAGGGAGATGAAAGAAAAAGTACGAATTTAGGTAAATAAAAATCTGGGTGGAGCTGTACCTACCACCAGAGAAGATACGTATTTTCTTTAAATTATGTTTGCCCATCTAGCCTAGTTTACATTTTGTAGCATAAAAAGGGATGTGTTACTCTGGACAACTGTTTGTCACATTAGAAACTAAAATGCTAACTGCATTAGCCATTCTGATCCTACAAAGAGGCATCTGTTGAAAGTTTCTGGTTTTTGAATCTTCTTTACTCCAAAAGCAGTCCTGAAAGATGCTCTGCTGTGGTAGCACTTGGAGTTGGGGTGGGGGGTGTTTGTGTCCTATGTGTTCTTATTTAAAGAAATGGGAGATAAGAAAATATATCTCAAGATGAAATCATTTTTCTTTTGTGTTGAAAGTTCTTTTTCTTCTTTGATTTCATTAGAGTGGTAATTTATCACATGCACATGCTCTTTGGTCATGACTTGAGGTGATTCTACTTAATTATGTCAACTCTCAAATATAGAAAGCAATTGGAGTGGAAGCTATAATTTTTAAAGCAATGGATTAGCAGGAACATTATAAGGGTTTCTTACAACTGTAAGCTATCTCACAATTGAATGGTGATTTTACAACTGAATGGCATTCATACATGATGGTTCTGCTTGGCGAAGAACATGGGCTTTCTCCTTGTTAGCTGAGAATTTGTGGGAGGCAATATTCAAGGGAATTGTTAAAGCAGATTTTCCAGAAACTAAATTGTACTGTGAACAAAGCAAGGATGTATTAATATGTGTAGGCAACATAAAGGCATCCCGACAAGCTCTTAAATAAGAGGCCAAACCCTGGGACAGCTGAAGTTGGCTTCTGTTTGAGGACGGCTGTTCTCACATTCTTTCTTTCAGTGCTCTTAAATCAAGCATGGCTGGAGTCAATTATTGCACGAGTAGAAGGACATACTAGTTTTAGTTTATTTCTTGGTTCTTTTTTCATTGCTGAAAAAAAAATTATTTGCAGCTTGCTCAGCAGGGCTCCCAGTCCATATTGTTGTTCTGATATATTATTGCTTAAAGAAAAAGACCAACCAAAATATGTTTTTTTTACAAATGTATTTTATTATGCAAGTATTATGTTGGTATATTCCCTATGATAAAATTGTAGTTAGCTATCAGGGCCCTAAAGCATAATTGTGCATCTCTTGTTGTGCTATGAAAGGATAACTATTATGTGTTGGGGGAAAAATATTTTCAAATATAAATCTCATTGAATAAATTGGCAAAATTCATATGAATTTTCAGACCAGATTATGTCTGAAGTTTGGGACTCAGCAGTTATCTAAAATAACCCAGACTTAGAGTTCAGAGAAAAGCTTCCCTCAGACAATTTTCATACTGGAACAGCAGTCCCATGTCCTGTTATCCTTACTGTTCCATCTTGAGAAAATTAACCAAGAAGGAATGGAATATTTGGGTCTCTAGTTCTGCCATCGCTGCTGTTAGACGGGACCGTACTTAGGCAAGAAAATTAGAATGGCTATGTTCTACTTAAAAATCATTTTGGGAACAAAAAATTTTATCTCCTTCAAAGTATCTCCCATATTTATAAAGCATAACTGTGTCTGTTACATGAGATTCTGTATAAAAGAGATATATTGTTGCATTGTATTCTCAGCTAACAAAAAGCACATCTTTATGCCAGAGATTAGGATAACCCAAGATTAGCACAATACAAATTATACCAATATATTTCTTTTGTGAGAAATAAGTTGATTCCTACAGATCTGTGTTACTTATTCAACTATCAGAGTTTAGAACAATGTAAGTTTTTTTTTTTCAAAATTCAGTTCCCTTATTTAGCAACACTCACTGTTAAGAATTTTCTTTGTAGGAAATTTAAACACTTTGCCTCTGTTACCTTCCCCTCCCCCCACCACAAGAAGATTTAGGGAACAAATTATTTTATCCTAAGTAATGAGTAGTTTCATTTCTTCTGTATTCCAAGGCGTGTTACATAGAACCTTGTTCTCATAAGATCAATTTTCTATTCTTTTAATTATTTTGGTTACATAGGTTGTAGAACCTTTGGCTTCATGTAGCCATGGAAACATGGGAATGTGAGCTCAAGCCTGGAAAATAGTTTTTCCCAGTAGATCACCATGACTGTACCCTTGTTATCAGATTTGGTTAAGATTTAGTAAAGCATTCAAAAATCTGTAAAGCAATTTTAATTTATTTATTATTAAAACGTCTCCCCGTTCATTCTTCCTAACATCAACAAAAAAAACACTTGTTTTTCTGTTTTTAAAGACCTCCAAATAGTTTCAATGTATTTCAATAATTTTAATGTAACTTTCAAGCATAATTAATTAAAGTAGCTTTCTTCTTTCAAAAAGGATTGGGTGAGCTGATAGTTTAACTGTCAAAGACAATTCAGGCATTGTTAGTAAATTGATAAATCCTTCAGAGCTTACAAGAGAAATACCTTTGTCCCATCAAAAAGAGAGAAAAAAGTCTATAGTAAAACAAAGGCTTATGTTAAAAAAGGTGGAAATTACAAGTAAAGAAAGTGTAAGGAATATTGTCATTTGATTATTGGTCATGAAATGTTAAACATTTTATTTAACTTATATAACATTTTTTCTACATGAAATGAACATCTTAGTACCTAAAATGCAATGTGTATACAGCATGCATTCCTGGCAGAGAGTAAGTAGTATACTTGTACTTAAAATTACTGTATTTTTCCATCATCATTATCACTTTAAAAAATAGCAATACTGACTTAGATGTCACTGCCAAGCCCCGGTGCCCATCAGAGTGGAACCACTGATTTCCACTGAGAAACACATTGACAGTGTGCCTCTGGTACTCCAGTTGTCTCTATGTTCTTGTGTGTTATTTTATGTCTCTTAATAAGACTTGTGTTTGTCTGTCTGTCTGTCCATCTGTATTTCTCTAAATCACTGTTTTTCATAAAATGTATGTGTAAAACTTTAGAAGCAGAAAGAACCATAGAGATCAGCTAATTCAGTATCCACAGGTACAGCTATGAAAAACAGATCTAAGTACAGCACTGACTTTGGTTGTTCATTTCAGAAATAAGAATATAAAAATATACTTATGATTAGAAGGATAGCACATTATTCTGAGTAATTTATAAATTAACAGGAAACCCAAAGAGGAAAATTTAAATTACCTAGAAATCTACTACTGAGAAATAGCGATAAATGTTTTCACGTATCTGTTTCCGACTATTTATTTGTAATATGCACATATATGAACATACATACACAGTAAGAAGATTGGCATTGTGTTTTGTAAATAATTGTGTCCCCTGTTTTCACCTTCATACATAAAACATACTTTTTCTACACTGTTAATATCTGTCTAAAATGTAGTCATTAATGGCTTTAACAAATTTCTTTGTTATAGAATTTATGTAACCTGTCACTAAAGAGGTTGGTTACATAGTATGCATCTCATATTAATTGTCAGTAAAATGGTGCTGAACATCCTTGTTTTTAAATTTGTACATGTATCTGATTCTCAAAAAGTGAATTTGTGAATGCTGAATGTTAATATTGTTTTGAATGTGTTTTGACAAATTGCTTTCTATCAAGGGTTGTACCACTTACTACCCATCACCATTATATTAAAAGTATCCCATTTCCCCAAGTGCTTTCTATTATTAATTTTTAGCTTTGCAAATTGGATAAGCACAAAATGGTATTTCATTGTTGCTCTAATTGTCTTTTGATTACCAGAAAGTTTTAACATTGTCATATATTCATGTGTCATTTGTAATTTCCATAATTTCTTTTTAAATAGCTCTATTAAGTAATTCTTTCTCAGCTGCAGCTCATGTCCTTCCAAATCCTTACACAACATGCAGAGACCTTGCTGGACACGTGCACAGTTCTCACTAGTGCCACTTGTTTGTTTCTCTCTCTTCCAACGTAGCATTTTGAATTTCAATCTTAATCTCTGGCGTGCTGACTTACCCCATCAGGCCTCACTGTTTCTGTGCCTTCCAAGCTTAATGAGCCTGATGTTTCCCGTAAGAAACTCAGAAAATCCATTCATGCCGTGTGGTTCTTTAATTTGGAAAATTTAAGGCCATGCCATTTAAGTAAAGAGAAAGTTACGTTAACACACACACGCAGGGCCTTGCACTAGAAGCCAATCTGGAAAGCAGCTGACCTCACTTAAAATCGTTCTACTCCAAGTTATGACAATGACTATACTGAATC